ATAACAATTAACAATTGTTTGAGCTTCTGGCCAACAATCAGAGGTATCACCGCCATAACTTCAGCAAATGGCTGCAGGCTTCCGTGGGGTTCCTGGAACCGTTCGTGAGCTCCGATGACATCGCTCCCGGTCCCTACAGCCACACGGTCACGGTCACTAAACTGTTTTCCACAAGGATTGCTACGGCTGGTTTCAATTGAAGAACTGTCGACATGTTGCATAAGATCCAGGAATGTCAATCGTAAATAGAGTTTCTCCAACCCAGCCAGTGGGCTGCCTTTCTAACCTTTTTGGGTGATTGTTCAAGCTCCAACCATATCCCCAGAAGGTGGTTGGAGTTGGTGATTGGGGGGGGTCTAACCACCTCCTGAGGAGATGGGCCAGGAGCCCCAGGTTTAGGAAATCGGTCCACGTTGCGCCTTGGTCAACTGGATGCCCTCGGAATTGGTCGACTGCATGGGCCGCATGGGTTGTGAGCACTCGACGGATCGGTGCTTTGGCTGCTTCAAGGTGGTCTTCATCACGGTTTGGGCGCAGGAAGTGCTTCTCATGGCTTCTCGGAAGTGCGGATCATGGAGGATCCAAGGGTTGGGATCCTGTTCCCTTGAAGAGGTTGGGAGTCATGAAGGATTCCATCCACTCAGGTCATTTGATGGAAGACTTAACCCAGATAATAGATGGGACTGCCATTTATACCTACATTGACCCCTCAAACCACCCCAATGTATATATATATATGGCATACATGGAGTGTCTGGGTAAGGTTTACCGTCGCGACTGTTCACGCCTGCCGGTCTCAGAGATGTAGTCGATCAACAGACGACTGCTGGTGGCAAACCCGCGAAGTTTCCACGATGAGCACTGATGAGGAGAACATGTGAAACCATTGCACTCCAGCCAGAACTTTGCAACCTTTGCACAGTGTATGTGGAATCATTGTTGTGGCCAAGTTTTCTCATGACTTCAGGTATAGAGGTTATCATGTTTTTCAACATGAACAACATGAAAGGGTAATGATTGCTGCAGCAGCCTAGACTTTGCAGATGATCTTGCTGACATGATACTTTCTATCACTAGTTGTTGTTGCTTTGCAATATGTGGTTTCTTTTTGAAGAGGGCACCATGACCTTCAACACCGCACAAGTTCCCGCTAAGTTGGTATATATATATAGTGGGTTTTTGGTATTTACCTCAACCTCTGGAATCACAATTGTTTAAACAATTGTTTTGACTAAGGGACTTGACACATAAAACAACTTCCATTATTTTACTCGGTTAAAAATCATGTTTGGATTTCTAGGGTCAAGGTTTGGGGCCACTCAGACCCCATAACCCGATCACAGGGTCACTGGGAGTTTGCAGGGCCGAAACATGTTTATTTGTCGAGCTGTGCATTTCTAATTATCCCAAACACTCCATGTATGCCATATGCCTACATTGATCCCCAAACCACCCCAATGTAGGCAACTATAGCATACATGGAGTGTCTGGGTATTGTAATTCATTACATGTGTACGTGATTCTCTTGTGAACACGTGACGAAGGCCCGAAACACCAGATGCTGAGGACTGGATAGCAAGACCTCCCTCTCAAACGTCTTGAGTAGCCAAGAAGCCGCATTTAATTGTCCAGATGCCATATACAGATTGAAGAAGTGATTGCCCATGTCAATGTTGGATCTAGAAATTGATTTCTGATTTTGATTGCTAACCGGTTATTACCCGCCTGAACCTTCCAAGAATTGTCCAACGAAGATCCACAAATAGCCTAGAATTGTCCATGCTTACCGCTTACCCTGCCAGAACTCGCCAATTTTGCAACATCTCCGTTTTTCACTCCTCTCAGAAGGAGCAAGGACGCTATTAGGTGGAGGCCATCGCAAGTAGCTTAGCTTGGAGGCCATCGCTACCAGGAGCAAGGATGCACACAGTCTAGCTCCAAATGACCACCCAGAGTGGCGCCCCACCCCGATCATCCAAAAGCTCGCCTCCATGGGCCGTCCACCATGGCGCGCCGCCATGGCGCGCCAAAGCGCCCTGGCCCGGTGCTCCCGGAGTTTCAGGCGGAGCGCAGGGGGGGACAGGGCGACGCTGAGGGGACCGATGTTGAACTCGTAGCTGGCATGGTTGGAGTAGCTGGAGTCGACCGGTGGAAGTACCTGGAACAAAAAAGGGGGTCTACAGATCCACCTAATGATATACCCATGGTATACAGATCCACCTTAATTATACAGATCCACCTGGTATACAGATTCTAATGACCTAGTCTTTTGTGACATGACATGTTTGGTATTCAGATGACCTGGTATCCCATCTTCTCAGTCTCCGGACTTGGAGCGTGACATGTCCGGCGAAGGTCCGCCGAATGTCGGACCGCAGAGGTGGTTCGGTCCGACCGATTCTCCGATGGGACCGATGGGAGATGATAGACCGTCACATGGAGTTGGTTGTTCATTTTGTTCACTTTCCAGCAGAGGTTTTTCAGAACCCGAACTAGGCTACTATCCTAAGCAAGGTGCTTCTGTAGGGTCCTAGTTCAGGTCACTTGACCTCTGTTGGTTTGGAGTGACTTGAGAGTGGGGGCACCGACGACCTAACCATTCCGAACCGAACTCGGAACCGGTGCACCCGTTGTTTGGAAGGGGAAACGGCCTCGTTGAAGGCCGCGTTCTGGGTCTTCGGAATGCGGGAGCCTCTTTTTCCTTGGAAGTACATGAGACGAAGTATGTTCAAGTGCAAAAGTGTGCGTGGTCCACCTCCAGGTTCAGGACTAATCGTCAAGAAGGGATTGTCAGACTGCTGGGACTCATCAGCCTGCCATGCCACACGGCGTTAGAGTCGTCTGCTGCTTGGAGATCGTTTGGGGGGGATCGTGGGGGAGCTGGAAAATGCCGTGGAAACCGGACATGAGGGTTCAAACACAACGTCAAAGGACCCAGAAACCACACAAGCGACATCAAGCGACTACCAACACAAGACGGCGGCCATCAGATCAAGCCACTGACTGTCACATCAGCCGGTTTCAGATTTAGGTGTTTGAGAGTCGATCAAATCCAACACGACCAGAGTTTGGTATAGGTGTTCCGTCCGCACCAGGTGAATAAGGCAAAGGTTTGCCTCAAAGAGATTCATTTCGTTACGGGTCTCGCTCGTCAGTTTTTGTGTATTTAACCATCAATTCAAAGCTGCAAGTCGCTTCAGCCCATCCACCGTGCATGTTCTTGTCTCCGTCGCAGTCGTAGGAGCCGGAGGAGACCAGCACAGCAGAGAGTGTGCTACGTACCGCACAGAGTGGAGGTGATGTGTCACTCGTTTCATTCTGCAGAATTGTTCGAGATTGATCCATCAATTGCTAAGCCCTACGGCTCCAACCATCTCCTCAGGATGTGGTTAGACCCCCCAATCCCACCCCAACCACGTTCTGGGGATATGGTTGGAGCCCTAGGGAAGTTTGTTTCGGGTGGTCCATTTCGAGGTCCCAGTAGAGAATCTCCCCAGATCGGCGGATCGGGGAGATCAAAGCACAGCGTTGTTTTTGTCAAAGCTGGGGCATGTAACGGTATGTGTTATGTCTTCGTGGAAAACGGGGCTTCAGTCGTGGCTGTTTTAAGATGTTTTAAGAGGATGATCTCGGATGCAGTTTTAAGGTACACATAATATATATATATTACAGTGTCATCCCAGAGTGACAGCGTCAAAAGCGATGCGCCTTTTTTTTATCCCTTCGAATGCATGGCACCAAGCTACACCGACAATGGCCTTTCTAACACGAAGCCCTTGGCCCATCTAACACCTGGATTTTGCGTTTCACCCCCTGCGGTGAGGCGCTCTGAGGCGCTCTGAGGCCTGTACCCATCAAAGGAAGACAAGGTGACAAGGGATACCCTCATAGATCCTGCAAAAGGGGTGTCCTGTCTGGAGATCCCTTAGTAGTGTAGGGGCTTCCATTGGTGACCCCTTTGAAGGTGCTGGCTCATAGATCCTGATAGAATTTCAATATATTTAATGTTGGTCGTCCTCTTGGTCTCTGTTTTTCTAAACAGATTTCCCGTTGATTTCCCTTTTGCCGAGAAGGTCTCTCTCAACCACGACTTCTTCAGGTTCAATGGCTTCTGCCGAGCGGTGGTTGACGTCCTGCGGAGCCAAAAGGGCGTTTTGGTGCCTCTCAACAAGGTGAGGAGCCTGGTTGTTGTGCATCCCTTACAATCCATCGGACTGCATGGGATAATATGTACCTACATTACATTCATCTTTATAGATCAGGGATTGGAATAGCGATGAGTTCAGAGGTTGCTCATGGGCCAACCCAGCCTTCCAGGCGGTCTCTATCGGTCATTCCATGCCTGTATTGATGTGTAATTGGGAGCATTTACGGGACCCATCGTTTCGGGGATGAACCCCCTAGTTTACCTCTTGTAGATGTTTCAATAAGCCAATCCATTGAATCAATCAAAAGGTAGTGCTCACCAAGTGCTCACCCGTTGGGGAACTGCAAAGACCGGTAAAGATAACTGACACCAAGAGAATCTAACAGACCACTTGCGAGGAATTAATCCCAAGCACTTTTGCCTGGGGTACATTCTCTTCCCCAAATTCCGTTTAGAGCTCATGGCGCTTCTATAAACCTCGGAGATAAAATCACGAGTTCTCAACAAACATAAAAGTGCGATAGTACCCGCTCAAAGATCGTTGCTTTGTACCAGCTGTGACTCCAACGTCAGATTCATAGCCCTGGACTCTCAGAAGCAACTCCAAAGAGCACCCCAAAGGCTTCTTAGAGGAGTAGTCGAAAAGACCTTGTATAGACAAGATTCAAACCCCCCTCCGAGTAAAATACATACACATGCTTGTCTTTGCCACAAAGTCACCCTTTTTGACTTTTCGCTTCCCTTCCACTGGAACACGCCTGGACACACGGCACGTCAGGTGGCGCAAGCGCCTTTGGTCCAGGCTGAATGGGCAGCGCTGCAGCAAATCCGAGCGATCGGCAAAAACACCAAGATGAAGCAGGTGAGAATTGCACATCGACGGTGGTGAATGTGGGTTGAGAGGGAGTGCTCGGTGATGACCATATGCTAACCTACAAAAGAAGGTCTGGACCCTGCCGGCATGGCTGTCTTCCCAAGTGGCCAGCAGTTATGCTCTAAATTTCCGGTTTTGGTTGGCAAAATTGATGCAGGTTTTTGAGCGCGCATTGATTGATCTTGCATTTCTGCTGCATTGGATATGCAGTTCTTGGCAGGTTTCGTGGCTATGTCTCGTGTTCGCTCTTTGTATGTCTTCAGGCTCAAATCCACAAAGATCCACATGAAGTCTTGAACTATTGGTGCTACCAAAGCACCGGTCAAAGTTTGTGAAAGCTTGTGTCCATGTCCCAGCTGGATCAGTTCACGAAAGGTAGCCCTTTAGGGGATACCTTGAGTTTGACTTGCGAAGCAAGTGTCGGCGAGTCCGGGTCTAATAATTGATCATTCAATTCAACCCCCCCCCCCTTCTATTGATTTTTCAATACAGACCCCGCCCCTTGGAATTGATTTTTCAATACAGACCCCCCCCCCCTCTAAATTCAATTCTCCGCTGGAGAACGTCTTCGTGAGCCTCTCATGATTTCAGGATAGTTGAAACCCTCGTGAACATTCAGAAAGAGTGCATATGAAATTCTAATTACGAAATGTGTTCTTGTTAAAATACCATTCTCTCCTGGAGACCGTCTTCGTAAGCGTCTCAGTGTTCCCCGAAAGGATCGCAAGGTGTTCTCCGAGGGGAATACATACCTAGAGTTTATTTTATTCTCTCCTGGGGCCTCTTAATTCAATTCTCTCCTGGAGCACGTCTTCGTGAGCCTCTCATGATTTCAGGATAGTTGAAACCCTCTTGAAGTTTCAGAAAGAGTGCATATGAAATTCTAATCACGACAGGTGTTCCCCGAGGGGATACATACCTAGAGTTTGTTTTGTGAACCACGTC